GAAACCGCGGAATTTTTATGATAACGATGCAAATACCACCATTTTCGGAGAAGATTTCCTAACGAAAATGCTGACGTAATGAATGAACAGAACATCCGGATGTGACATTTCTTTTATCTTCTTCCATGTAAAGTGAATAACCGCGGCTATCATCTGTTCCGAAAGAGAATCACACATGGTAAATGATAAACTAGATCAACCACTGTATATGTTTCGTGCCATGTAGGTTTATCTTCAGCTAGGTGTTCAAAGTTGAAATTCTATGACCAGTTTTGAATTGACTCGGCCGTTACTTTAACTTAACATGAACTTAACATTAATTCAACATCAACTTAACATCCACTTAACATCAACCTAACATAAATTTAACAGTTTCTTAACATTAACTTGAAATTAACTTAACATTAACTTAACATCAACTCAACATTACCTCAATAATTATTCAACATTAAATCAACATTAACTCAAATTTAACTTGACATTACCTTAAAATCGAATTAACATCAACTAAATATCAAATTGACATTATATAACTTCACATTAATCACTAAATTGCCAATACATTGACATTAATTCAACTTTCAATTGAAATTAACTTCATTTTACTTGGTTCTTTGGGATTTTCTCTCCTCGTTTCTATAAAATAAAAGTATTCGTATTATTTCAATATATTTGTAGAGGGACAAATCAGATGATTTGCCCCAAAATGTCACTGCGTTTAACAAATTTTTCTATCTATAATTTGCATTTACATGTTGAGAACGGGAGCAGAATCGGTCCCGAAACGTCCAAAGATAAGTACAAATTCGATATTTTTTCAATATATCTATATTTCTTTCCTTCAAAAATTTTTTTAAACAAATTGTCACTGACAAGCTACTGGATTTTTCTTTTAGACTCCCTGATAGAAAAATTTGTTAAACGCAGTGACATTTTGGGGCAAATCATCTGATTTGTCCCTCTACAAATATATTGAAATAATACGAATACTTTTATTTTATAGAAACGAGGAGAGAAAATCCCAAAGAACCAAGTAAAATGAATGTACCACCTCCTCGATTAACATACAGACAGTATTTGAAATTAACTTGATTTCAACTCTTCATCAACTTAACATTACGTCAACATTAACGACAATAACTCATGTTAAATCGACACTAACTTTCCATTAACTTGACCATAACTCAACTTACCATAATTCAGCATAATAATCATTCATTGGTACATCATAATCTATAGACCCTGTTACTGTGCGATTTTCGAATATTTCCACCCAAGTGAGTTTAACTTTCGAACATTCTAACTGTTATATGTTGTCATAGTGAAACGAGTCACTTTCTCAATAACAAATCAATGTGTTTTGTGCTGTTTTCATAGGTGGTCGTAGGAAAAATTCTTAAACACACAACATGTTTCGCTCACACAGTAGCGTCGTCAGGTGATATACTGGTACAATAAACTAAACCAACCTTATTGGCTTGCTTAACTTTTATATATCCTACTTTCCCAACTTGAAAGAACAGTTTCGATAAAGTCGAGTAAGTCAACATTTTTTAGTTTGTTGATTTCTAATGATTCAAAATGATTGAGTTTCATTCCTTCATTTTCTACGTGTGTAATAATGGTTTTCTTCTAATATATGGTTGGCGTATATGTTGAATTTGTTTTCTTTTTCAAGAAATGCATCTTATGTTCATGAATGCGCTGATTAAACGAACGACCTGTCTGACCGATATATACCTTGGGATAAGATCCACAGTTGAGTTTGTATACCCCTGATTTTTCGAATTTTAGAAGTTTTGGCTTTATTATTTTTGATAAACCTTCCCAACGTGTTATTTGTTATCTATGACAAGGCCAGAAAATATTTTCATAGAGATAAATTTCAGTTAATCTTCTTATCGAAGATAAGAAGTTGTTTAATCTTATATTAAAGGGGCCAGCGGGTGTTTTTATTACTAACATGTTGCTACTTTATAACTGTTTCCTGACCGTGTGGTAGAATCTAAACTCGCAATTGGCTGAAGATGATCTTATATCGACTCGAAACATGTATCTACCCAGTAATGTCATTTTAGAATTAAGCAGATGATTCAATACGCAAATCAGGAGATCTACTAAAATTTCAGTAGAGCTGGCAACCCTGCAACGGACGAAAAGTTAGTTTCCGCGGGCGACAAGTACTTGCCTTCGGAAATAGTCGGTTTTTCGTTCGGAAATTAGAAGGTAAAATGTGATTTTCTGTACAGGTCAACGAAAATAGTTATTTTTCTACGACCACCTATGAAAACAGCACAAAGCACATTGATTTGTTATTGAGAAAGTGACTCGTTTCACTATGACAACATATAACAGTTAGAAAGTTCGAAAGTAAAACTCACATGGGTGGAAATATTCGAAAATCGCACAGTAACAGGGTCTATAGATTATAATGTACCAATGAATGATTATTATGCTGAATTATGGTAAGTTAAGTTATGGTCGAGTTAATGGAAAGTTAGTGTCGATTTAACATGAGTTATTGTCGTTAATGTTGACGTAATGTTAAGTTAATGAAAAGTTGAAATCAAGTTAATTTCAATTGAAAGTAGAATTAATGTCAATGTATTGGCAATTTACTGATTAATGTGAAGTTAATATCAATTTGAAACCTTTCCAACGTGTTATTTGTTATCTAAGACAAGGTCAGAAAACATTTTCATAGAGATACATTTCAGTTAATCTTCTTATCGAAGATAAGGAGTTGTTTAATCTTATATTGAAGGGGCCAGAGGGTGTTTTTATTACTGACATGTTGCTACTTTATGTGTGGTGGAATCTAAACTTCCCACAATTGACTGAAGATAATCTTATATCGACTCGAAACATGTATCTACCCAGTGATATCGATGAATATCAGTGGACAAAAAGTTAGTTTCTGCGGACAAGTACTTGCCTTCGGAAATAGTCGGTTTTTCGTTCGGAAATTAGAAGGTAAAATGTGATTTTCTGTAGATGTCGACGAAAGGATATATTATTTCAATAATCATGCAGAGGCCTTATCTTCCACACTATCTCGAGCCTTGGTACAAAATATACGCAATAAGATCTAAAAGGCAATAGCCCGAGACAAATCGATATACCTACCTTGTTGTAGATTGCGTTTCACAGCTAGATATTTATACATCGGAAAATAAACAAATAATGATACCATGGACGTATTAATATGAAGTAGGTATATTTTAGGTCAGTTCTGAGAAATGTACCCTGAATAATTTACTGGTGAAACTAGGTACATACACATACATACTTTCATGACCTTTTGAGTGAAAGCATCGGCATCTTGATGGATGAATGCGAGGATGAAGGAAAGTACCTACGTTTCCAAACCATATGAACAAATTAATTATTCGTCTTTTTCAATTTTTTTCTCAACTTCATTTGGGAAAGGAATTATTCAAAAATACCAGTCGGTAGTTGTTCTGGTCCCAAGAGTTCTCTAATTGAAAACCCTTAACTACGAACGTTCCAAATATATAACGTTGTCACTAACTATACGTCTCATAGACAGGACTATTTAAATGTCCAAATAAATTCAAAAATTTTTATTTTATTTTTGTGAGGTATTCAAACACGTTCTCTACATATTTTTCGAAGAGAAAATGATGTTCAAGATTGAAATAAAAATACCAATTTCAGTGGCGATCAAAATTTAATAGAGGAGTGAGTACCTTATGTTCAAAATTTCGACATTGATCTATAGAAATACTGAAATAAAATTGAAATACAAAAATAATCGATGATATTATTGTCATTCTGAATACAGTTTAGAGTCGTAATAAAATATGACACAGAACTAAGTCATAAACATGCAAATTGAAAAAAATGACAATGCCTGTATATCTAGATATAGACGCAATCATACGTATTATAGGCGAAATTGAACTTTTATTGTTACATAATAACTAACTATACGTCTACGAGACGGGAATCTATCTTTCAATCAAGATATTTCTAAAACTGAACCATATACATAGATCAACTTCAGGGTACTGAATGAGTGCTAGTTATTGGACATAAATTACTATAGTCCAGTACGTGGGGGTTTTTTGAATGCAAAAGGTGGGGTAGTAGCGATTTTTTAGTATGTTGTTAGGCTTGGGGCCCTAATGAAAAATCCAAGTTTTCGACCTCGAGGCGCATGCGCTCGAGCCGCCATATTGGATTATAGGTACACAAATTTGTTTTTTTGATAATAACTCAAAAACGGTGGCTTTCACGACAAAATATGTTCTGAACAAAGTTGAAGAGGACAAAATTTTCTGAATTTTTTCTGGTAAAATTTTTTTTATAGCACATATATGTAAGGAGTTATAGCTCAGTGAAGTTTCATTATTTGAATATATCCTCTCAGCAGTTTTTCCTCTTCCAGGTTTACGGAAGTAGATAGAACTTTCGGCTGGTGCTAAGGCTGTCAGAAGTACTAAAAGGTCAACGTCTTCCCCGACCACAAAAACAGCATCAAATATTGATTCACTGCATAATGAAATTGCAGTGTTGACAATAAGCACATCGGCATCATCTGTAGCTTGTTTAACTGTAAATGCAGCCAGTTCAAATTTGTTCTTCAGCATCGTTATGAGACGAACTTTATTTTTCTCATTGGCTAAAAATCGCTCCTGCGAAACTTGCACCACCATTGTTTCATCAAAAAGGACATCGGCAGACACTTGCTTTTTTGATCGATGAAGTATTGCTGTGGTCTTTGTATTTGTATCGCCACCATCAGTTGGATATCCATCAAAGACAATAATTGCGTGGGAACCAAAATGATCTCGCACATATCGAACATATTTGTCACAAATCGCTCCAAACAAATCATTTCGGTGCCACACAACTTTGTGTAGGAGATATCCCCCATCCACCACATTGATCTGGTTATCCGAGAATTGAAATTCATCAGAAAGTGGTTTGAATACGGAATATAAAGATGACTTGGATCCTTTGCGCATTCCTGCTTCCTAAAAAAACGACAAAGGAAAGGGGGCCAGCTCGTATTTAAGGTAATCCTTTATCTCGTCTTCGGATTTCTTAGCAATGCACATCCTTTGAAACAGCATTAGTGGGTTGAGGCAAATAGTTTCTTCGCCGACTTTGATGCTGCTATTAACTGCTAGTAGTGGGATAACTTTATCTTTCCGTTTAAATTTAATTGCCTCAAAATTTTCGTACGTGGTAACCATTTGGTTCAAACCTTTCAAACCCATTTTTCTGGACAAATGACAGTTTATCGTTGAATCTCCAACAAGTCCAGTGCTTATGCAAAAAAGGGAATTAATTTCGGGAAAGGGAGGATGCTGAGAAAACCAATGCAGCAATTTGTTTAGGTCTTGATCGTCTCGTGAGATACGTGAAGCCCTTGCATCGACATGTTGCTCGGATGTATCGAGATGAACGTCACAATAATTCTCAAAAGCTTCGCAAACATTGTGCAGAGATATTCCCAAAGTCCAATGAGCCAGTACACTATCGCTGATTCCTCGTCCACGAGTTAGCCCCCCAGAGCTATGCATCATCCGCATCAATGTTTGTTCGATAGTCATGTCGGACCAAATTCCTGACCAACATTTGTCAGTACGCCTAATCGTGAAAAAGCTTTCTGTCGTGAATTTTTTGTATTCAACTGGATCCATCTTGAGTTCCAAATCGAACATACTTTGCAAATAGAGATGAGCACATTTTGCATACAAGAAATGGCCGCTTGCATGAAAATAGGGCAGCATTCTTTGAACAGTATTCAGATGCAATTGCCAGTTCCCCATTCGCTCCGCTTCGATGAAATGCTTTACCAAAGTGACCATTTGAAAATACTGGATCCATAGTTTGGCTGTAGGACCATTATTTTCTAATTTTGCAAGTGCTTCTTTGAATTTTGTCGTAACATCCCTAAATGCCTCGTTTTCATCAGCCCTCAGAATCGTCGATCTATCAAGATTGCCAAGCAATTGTTTCATAACATCACGATCTTCGTCTGTGAATTCCAATGATTCCAAAATTACATGTGCCAAAGCAAGATGACATAAGATGTGAGCACGAATTGCACGGGCATATGCGTGACCAGCTAGCATTTTCTCTACACTATTCTCAGCGTAAATAGTGCTGAATATATCTTTCAATCCGCTTCCGCCCATTATGTACCCAATGCCACCTATGAAAAAATAACAGAATATTATTGAAGAACATTACATGCAAGTTGCATATATATGCAACTTTTGCATACATTGTGCAATATTTAGGAATCATCCATATGAAGAAGAACATTTAGTTGAATTAAAATAAGTTCTACTCACCTAAAAAGGACATGAGCAAATGAAATCCTCCAAGTCTCACGATTACATTTGTAAATTTCGGATTATTCGCCACGATTTCTTGAGCTTTCGCGTAGAGGGGCTGATCGAAGGTGACGAAGCATGTTTTTTGGTTGGACGCCTTACATTTTTCCATGGCAAAGAGCAGAGATGTATATATCGTGTCATACTGGCTTGGTGGAAAGTTTATGAATGGAAGAAATATTATCTTGGACCGCCAAAAAGATTCATTAGCAGTTGCCTCTTCCATAAAGCCGTTCCATCCAGGTAGATCTAATTTTGACCACTTGCCATACAGCCAAAGAAAATCGTGAAGCGTAGCGAAGCGAAGCGCACTTCAGGAAAATCTTTCCCTCAATTATTTGATCCACTGCGCATGCCTGGAAAAGTGGCGTGTTTATTTTTGTGGCATCTGTCATTTACCCTCTTTCAATACTTACTAGACAGCAGCTGTGCTCTCGATATCTGCCTATCCGTTAAGATTTTGGGCAACCTATGATTATATAATTGGAGTAGAATCTCTTTAAGAACCATTTCAATATGATTTGCATTTGTTTAAATTATTTATTCAAGTTATTAAGAGCCAAATAACAAAATTGAATACTTTTTTTTTCAAATAGTGCAACTTCACGAAGCTGTAACTCATAACATATGTGTGTTACAAAAAAAAATATTCCATAAAAAATGTTGGAAATTTTGTCTTCTTTAATATTGTTGAGAACATATTTTGTCGTGAGAGCCACCGTTTTTGAGTTATTATTAAAAAACCAAATTTTTGTACCTAAAATCCAAGATGGCGGCTCGAGCGCATGCGCCTCGAGGTCGAAAACTTGGATTTTTCATTAGGGCAACAAGGTTAACAACATACCAAAAAATCGCTACTACCCCACCTTTTGCATTCAAACACCCCTTTTTGATACCCACGTACTGGACAGTGGTAATCCAACGAATCGGATGCTGATGTGCCGTCTCTTAGACGTATGATTAGTAGTTGAGGGTTTTTAACTTTCATTTCATTTCTGAAAATTATTATTAAAAGCTTTTATTTAACTTGAAATGTCGTTTGTATGAACAGAGATTATACACTCCCCATCAATTTTGTAGTAGATTTCTTCAACCTATTGAGCTGAAATGTTGTATTCACGTTTAGTTTGGATGACAATGCACGATAAGGACGATGAGGTGTGTGACGTTATTCTAAATCCAATATGGCGGATCATCCAAGATGGAGGAATAGTTATTTTTAATGCACTTTTACCAAGTGGGTATCAAATGAAAGAGCTCGTTGAGAGCAACTCGAAAAATAATGTGACGTCATTCCATATCCAATATGGCGAACCATTCAAGATGTCGGAATAGTTATTTTCAATCTACTTCTACAATATGGGTATCAAATAAAAGAGCTCGTTGAGAGAAACTCGAAAAATAATGTGACGTCATTCTAACTCCAATATGGCGAACCATCCAAGATAGCGGAATAGTTATTATTTATATATGCACTTCTGCAAAATGGGTGTCAAATAGAAGGGCTTGCCGAGAATAATCAAAAATAATGTGACATCACTCCACTCCATCCAATATGGAGCACTATTGAAGATGTTTGTGCTTGTTATAAAATGAAATGGTTCGCTGAGAATGAAAATGCAGGTTTAAAAAATTGATTTAGAAGCCTGTGACATCGATTGATTAACTTTGATTTGTGTAATTTGCAGAGATGGCGGGCGTCATACTGAGAAACCTAGCCGGCGATAACTAAAAAGTAAAAAATAAATTGAAAGTGAAAAAAACAATTTTAAATTTTTATTTAAACGCACTAAAAAAAGAAAATAAAATAGTCCTTCTAAATTTTAATTTTCAGCTTATAACCTCATTTTACACAATTAATATGATAATAAGCTTGTCGCGATGATCAATATTTAATTGAATTGAAATTATAAAAATTTAAACTCAGCGATTTACTTGTGGAAATATACTAGTACTAATGTAAAACCTGCTAAGTTTAAATCTTTCAAAGTTCAATTTAATTAAATATTGATCATCGCGACAAGCTTTTATATGATCATATAAATTGTGTATAATGAGGTTATAAGTTGATCGATAAAATTCGAAAGGAAAATTTCATTTTCTTCTTTTCAGAGCGTTTGAATAACAGCTTTTTTTAATAGTACATTATACACCTAGGGAATAAAGTGGTATTTTAAATCATTAGACAAAAAGTTTATAGCCCGACCAACGGGAGGGCTATAATTTGTCAAGGGATTCAAAAACACTTAAGTCCTGAGGTGTTAATACTATTTTATGCACTTAAAACGTTAAAAGTTAAAATCAAAAATCAAATGCCACTAAACGGTAGATACTACCTCAATAACTATGGTGATCCAGATTTCGGGGAAAAAAGTGTTACTTCAAATCCCTAGGGATTTCAATTAACTTCAAATTCCTAGGGATTTAAAGTACCACTTTTTTTCGAAGATGGGGAATAAAAGTACCCTTCAAACCCTGAAGTTCATGAAAGTTTTTTTTTAACTTTTAATTCATTTCCTATAGGTTCCTGATATAGTGGAATTCATCAACGAAATGACATCTTATCAACTATCTGTCTTATCTACAAATCATTATATTATTAGAAAATGTTCAGTTGTCAGTCAATATAGTTGTTATCGAGAGTTTCTATTGTTATAGGCTTCAAGTATTTTGTTTTTCTATAATTTATATTTTCTATAATGGAGATATATTTCCACAGATTCATCCTTCATCCTGCGATTAGTTTCTTTATTTTTCCATGTATTTTCATATACTATACAGCCATGTGTCTATTATTCATAAAAAAATCACAATTTGAGAGTGGAAAAACAACCATTAAATAACAAAATCTCCGAAAAGACAAAAAGGTTTGTCTTTAGTATTGAAACGTAGTTGCCAGGATTGCACAACATTGCGAAATGTCATTCAGGATACTACGCAATATCAACAGAATGGTGCTGGTCTCAAATCAATAACTGCATCTTTATTGATTCCCTTGGCTGAGCTATTTATATCCAAGCTGATCAGATTGTATAATCAAAGTATAAACAGCAACAAACTTTTTACGATATTCTGATAAAAAACTGCTCAAAGACTCTGCTAGTATGACCAACTTTTAAAATAACGTTTGTATATCAACGAGCAAATCTTGTTAGGTTAGGTAGATCTATTTGAGCGTTTCGTTTGTACATCAGGAAGAACAGGCAATTTTAGGCAATATTAAGAAGGAATATTCTCAGATATATTTATGAACACAAAAAAATTAATATACAGGGTGTTCCTTTAAGACATGCTAATATTTGAGGGAGTGAAAAAAACTTCATATATGAACGTATATCCTAAAAGCCTTAACTTTTGAGATAAAGGGTGATGAAGTTTTGAAAAATATTCAGTTTTTTGATGATAACTAAGACACTATTGAATACATTCGTATGAAATTTGGTACACGTCTTTTATGCATCAGGGTGCATTTTCTGATGTACAGAAATTTTCATTTTCTCTACCAGTGGCACAGTCACGGAAAAATTATTGTTTATATTTTAGTTAAAAGTGAGCAACGACGAGAAATTTTCAAATTCCATACAATGCTATGAAAGGCTATTCAATTATGTACAAAAAAGATCCTTCTGTTGATACTCGGTAGAACGCTTCGTTTTCGAGAAAAAACGGAAAAACGAGACCAGACTTAAAATTTTGATGTTTAAGTACTCCATTCAGGACATCCATTACTGGATAACCACCGTATGTAACATTTTGAAATTTGTATACCGATTCAGTCACATAGCAGACTGAATTTTGCCATCACGAAAAGCTATACAGGGTGGACAAAAAAATAATCTATGCATATTTTCAACATTGACACCCTGTATCTCAAAAGTTAGGACATTTACGACATATGTTCATATGAAGTTTTATTCTTGAAATGGGTCGAAGAATCGGCCCCTTGAATATCAGCAGATCATCAAGGAACACCCTGTATATATAAAGAAATACACTGAGAATTCGCATTCTCCATGTGATGAAATTATCAATTCTTTCTCGGTTTATTCAACAGAAAACAACTACTTTCCTGGTTATATGCCACGACGAATATTGAATTACATCTATTGAACATAGACGATAAGAATTTGAAAACAAAATCTCCTGAAGTAGTGAATAGAGATGATATGCATATCTGAATATTCAACAGGAAACAACTACTTTCCTGGGTATTTGCCACGTCGAACATTGAATTATATCTGTTGAATATCCGAAAAAAAGATAGCATCAAAAAACAAACTCCTCTGAAAAAAAAATTGCATACTGTTAAGTGGGTCCAGTTTCGTGTTTCGTTGTTTCAAAGACATTTAAAGGTTTCCATTTGAAATTGATGATGAAAAATGCTGCTGCTTCGTTAGTTCGAACAAACAAAATCTTTGGTACGTGACTTTCAGGTGCATTTCCATCATTTCAAACAAATACCTTCCACAGTTTAACATCTCCACACACATAGCTTACGCATTCCTCGGCAACAGAAAGAAAACCTCTTCTTGACCGATGACCATTTTGGGGCACTCACGAGCAGAATCCATTCCAATTACGACCAAAAATAGAAAAGAAAGGAAAAAAATGTCGGTGCGACTGACACTCCGTACGGCCGCATCGGCAGGCGCTGGCAGGAAAATAATAAGGGATAAGGGGTACCCGGTGCAGCAACTAGAGTCTAGGGCTAGCACCTTCTGAGGAGACGAACGTACCCGAACGTAAGAATGCCCATGACTAGAAGAATTCCTCTAAAAGCGCGCCAATTTATAGTTTGTTTTAAACATAATTGTAGATGTAGGTTCATATTTGAATCAAAAAGTTGTTACTATACCTAGTTGTTCATAACAATGTGTGGTGTACTTAGGTAGGTAGTTTATATTATCCAGTGCTGATTTTGTAGGACTGGAGATTGGAGATGGAGGTTATTCAGTATAGCAATAATATAAGTAGGTATTTTTTTTCAAGTGTTTTATTTGTTCTAATTAGAAAAAATATACATTTTTTTCTATGCTAAGAACAAAGAAAGAAAGCTGAAGAGTGCTAATAATAATAATAATAATAATAATGATAGCAATAACAATAATAATA